ATCACGAGGCACACCACCATTAGAAAATGTTAAAATTTTTTAACTCTGTGCCTATATTGACTATATATAAAGTGTTTTTCCCACGGCACACCTTACACTATGTCACGGCACACTAGTGTGCCGCGGCACAGTGGTTGAAAAACACTGTTCTAGAAGCCTGGGGAGGGTGAAAACAGCCTGTTTTCCGACTCCCGGTGGGCCGGGTAGATTTCGCCCTCCCCAGGCTTCAGAGGCTTTCTAGGAGCCTGGGAGAGCAAAAAATGGTCCAACATACAAACTAGAAGTTTGGGAACAGACTTCTAGGTTGCCCTTGGGCCATTTTTCTGCCTCCGGAGGCTTCCCTGAAGTCTCCGTAGGGCGAAAAACAGTCCAACCTGCAAACTGGAAGTCCATTCCCAAACTTCAGACTTACATGTTGGACTGGTTTTTTTCCCTCTGGAGGCTACAAGGAAGCCTCCGGAGGGTGAAAAACAGCCAAAAATCAAAGCCAAAAATCAGCTGCCTAGCATGTGCATGCGCGCTGGAGCTGATAGAGCAACGCCACGCGTGGCCTCAGAAATGGCTCCACGTGCCACCTGTGCCATAGGTTCGCCATCATGGACCTAGATTGGTGGGGGCAATATGCTTACAAACTGCTTAGAGAGGGCTGTAATAAAGCACTGTAAAGCGGTATATAAGTCTGAGTGCTATTGCTATTATGTTTCACTTGTAAAATAATACTTTATTTGCTATTTCAGAGGTACAAAATTGGAGTAAGGTTATACTATCGTGTGATGGAATCCTTATTAAAGTCGGTATGTTTTCAGTATATTGGTTTTTTTTAATAATACTCTATGTGTTAGCTTTATAAAATGCTATGCTAAATTTTTAGTTATATATATATATATATATCTGTTACAGGAAGAAAAACGCCTGTCAGTTCATAATTTCAGGTATGTTTGCTAAAATATTATTTAGCTATCTCTACTTTGTAAAACTGTTTTAGAATGTTTATGTGATAAAAAGTTAATGAGGTATGTTATTTTCTTTTACAGCAAACTTTTGAATAATGACGTCTTCCACATCTCTCTGTTGGCTTGTGCTCTTGAGCTAGTCATGGCTACATATGGCAGTAAGTTCAAATTAACTAGAAGCATTATCAAGCAGTCATTTCTGGGACAAACTTCTTTTCCCAAAGCATTTTCTGTGATAGGGGATCTACCATCTTTAAAATGTTATTTTAAATATAAAGTCTTGTAATAATTCAGCGTAACTAATTTTGTACATGACTTTGTTGCTCTACATTAATCAGTTGTGTTCTCCTAAGCTTCAAGAAATGCTTCACAGAGCATGAACATAGAAACAGACTTGTCTTTTCCATGGATCATCAACATCCTGGATTTGAAAGCCTTTGAATTATACATGATTGTTGAAAGCTTCATTAAAGCAGAACCAAGCTTGACCAGAGAGATGATAAAACACCTAGAATGCTGTGAACACAAAATTATGGAATCGCTTGCATGGCAATCAGTAAGTTGTTTCCTAAACATATAATAACAATGTATGTCTATGTTCCATAACATTATTTTGATTGTATAGTTTATTGGGTAAACTCTGAATTTACATTATAAACATATAATCCAAGTGAAGTAGGAGTTAAAGTGATATCTATTTCCTCAGTAGAACACACATACTTTTTTAAATTGTGAAGACTAGTTTGAAGACCTATATTCCAAGGCATTTTCTATTTCTTTATAATAGTTTTGCTTCTCTACAGTGTTTGGAAACAGATTAGTTCTTGGGTTCTTAAGAGTGAATTGGGAATGAATTACTAAAAAAAGGTAGCAATTTAAGCAGGACAAAAGTATTTGTCTCAGGGGTTTCTTGTCAATTCAGTATTGGTCTTCTTTGGGACATCTTACCTATGGCAACATACTCCCCCCACTCCCTATCAGACAGTTACACATAATTTGAATTAAAAAAGGATGTAAAGGGGGAAAAGAAAAATACCTTCATTAGATTTCAAAGACCATGACTAAAGAAATCAAATGTAAGCTTTGTTCTTTAATTTTAATATATTGTTTTGAAAATTGTAGAAATCGGTATTCGGTCATTTAAATAATATTGAAAAATGAAAATTGTGGTCAACTCCAGCTACCTTTATACATAGAATATCTCTGCTTATCTAATAATAAAAGGGCAATGAACATTGGTTTTTCTATTTTTTCAATAGTACAGGTAGTCCTCAACTTGCAACCATGATTGAACCCAAAATGTTTGTTAAGTGAAACATTTGTTAAGTGAGTTTTGCCCCATTTTATGACTCCTGCCACAGTTATTAAGTGAATCATTGCAGTTGTTTAGTTGGTAACTCGGTTGTTAAGTGAATCTGGCTTCCGCATTGACTTTGCTTGTCAGAAGGTTGGAAAAGGTGATCACATGACCCTGCCACACTGCAATAGTTATAAGTATGAACCAGTTGCCAGGCATCTGAATTTTGATCACATGATCATAGGGATGCTCAAGGATTATAACTGTGATAAATGATCATGTCACTTTTTTCAGCACCATTGTAACTGAACTGTCATTAAATGAACTGTTGTAAGGTGAGGACTACCTGTAAACTAAAGGAAGAAGTAAATCAATAAATCTTCATTTTTGTCATAGACCATCATCATTAAATGAAGGACAAAACATGAGTTTTTCACTTTCTAGTTAAGCACTAAAGCAGTCAAAAGATAACTCTTTTACCTAGAAGGGGACCAAAATGATTAAGAAGGTAAATTCAGCATTTTGCATTAGCTTTGGAAGTCTTGGATCCTAAGAAGTAAATAAGATTAAATCAACAAACAAACAAATATTAAATAAAACCTTACTCTTTCCATAGTGGTCTACTGCAGGGGTCCCCAACCCCTGGGCTGCATCCTGTTCAGAGCCAGGCTGTGAAAGTGGTGCGTGACCATGGTGGATGAGTATGCACATGCAGCTCCATTTGTGTGAGCTGTGGGCATACATGACTGCTGCTTGCACAAATGGAGCTGCCTGTGTTTGCCCGCCACTTGCACGGAACCATCCTCTTTCCTCCACCTACACTGGTACACAAAACCAGAAATGTTGGAGACTGCTGGTCTACTGTTTCAAAGACTTATTTTATACTAAAAACAGTATTATAATTTTTCAGTTTACAAGTTTTATACTGTGTTGAATTACTTCTGAAAGTGTTTGATCCAAATGCATTCAGATAGTCCTGATAATCAAACATTATTTTAACTCTAATCAAAGCTGCCATAACAAAAAATGGACTCTAAGATCTTATAAGCAAGGAGTTGCTAAGAGGAATCCATACAAAGTTGATCAAGGAGATGATTAGAGGACTGGCACCACAAATTGCAGAAGCTATGAGACTTTTGCTATTGGAAAGATACAAGTTGATAGATGGAAGAATATAATTTAAAACTAGTTAAATTTAATGAAATTTATTGACAATAGATATAG